CCAGTTGCTTAAACACAGACTTATTGAGATACAATTCACATTTCATACAGTTGACTCATTGGAAGTGTGTAATCCAATGGTGTTTAGTCTGATCAGAAAATTGTGCAGCCATCACCACAAATTTTTTAATACACTTCCAATTTCTTGCCCCTTATAATCCATATTCTCTATATGCACTGGGCAGAAATTTTAGTTTCTTCAGAAAGTCTTTTTTTTTTTTGAAAAAAAAAAAAACTTATGTTGCATAAATTATTCCTCATTTGGCTTAGCTTCATCCTGAACATTTATGAACTATACAGTGAATCACCAGCCACCCTGATTTACAACCACTTACTATGGTAAAGCTCACGGTAGAATTCTCCACATTAAGTAGGCTCATAGTGCACAAAAAGGAAATACACATGGGTGTTATCGGGGAATACTGTCAGGGAAAGTGGCATTTCTTTGGTGCATCTGCTAAAATCCGCGCGCTGTGACAGTGGATGGTCGGCGCTCTTGAGTAGATCCATCCTCAGAAATGTACTTGTCTCAGCCGAACTCCAGCCAGCAGTGCCGTGTGAGATCAGGATGCCAACTCACTCATTTACAGGGAGAAACCTGATTTCTGTGGGTCCAGAATGCTTGTGTTGGCGTGAGTTGTGCACTTGATTTCTGCAGGTGCATGCACTAGGGGTGCAGGAGGGGGGATCATCGTCTGAGCATTGCCTGAAGTCAGAACAGGAGGGGGTTTATTCCAGGACTCTGTTCTGAGAAATTATGTGCTGATATCTAAGTTTATTTTTACAGGATGATGTGTAAGCATACTTCAAAAACTTTGTAGAGAATGGAATTAAAAGCTAAGTTTATCTTAGTGCAAAAAAATTTGCAATCCATTTATTCAAGGAGTCTTGAAAAAGTTCATGGAAATGTGTGTTATGAAGAAACTGCATACATTTTAAAAATTCATGAAAACTTACCTTTTACTTCCATTTTCCATGAACTTTTTTGGAGGGAGTTGCAAGAGGGTCTTAATGTCTTTAAATTCCATTGTATCTGACCTGGACCCTCACTGTCCTCTGGGTCCCTCCCTCCCTCTTTGTTGTCCTGTGTTTTTATTTTTTTTAAATTACAAAATTTTTAACAGATGTATAAAAATTGTTTGTGTTTATGGGGTACAATGTTATTTTTCAGTTCATGTATATATTGTGTAATGTCTATTGGGGTAAATATGTCTTCTCAAAAATTTAATTTTTTTTATGGTGGAGACATTAAAAATTCTATCTTCAAGGGTTTTTTTTTTTTAAATAGAGAAATGCGGGCCGGCGCCGCAGCTCACTAGGCTAATCCTCTGCCTTGCGGCGCCGGCACACCGGGTTCTAGTCCCAGTCAGGGCACCGGATTCTGTCCCGGTTGCCCCTCTTCCAGGCCAGCTCTCTGCTGTGGCCAGGGAGTGCAGTGGGGGATGGCCCAGGTCCTTGGGCCCTGTACCCCATGGGAGACCAGGAGAAGCACCTGGCTCCTGCCATCGGATCAGCACGGTGCACCGGCTGTGGCGGCCATTGGAGGGTGAACCAACGGCAAAGGAAGACTTTTCTCTCTGTCTCTCTCACTATCCACTCTGCCTGTCAAAATAAATAAATAAATAAATAAATAAATAAATAAATAAAATTAAAAAATAGAGAAATGCACAGTCCGTTATCATTATCTGTAGTCAACCTACTATGCATAAGAACCCCAGGATATCTTTCTACTGTCTACTATAAGTTCGTTCCCATTAATCAACCTCATGCCTTTTATCCCGCCGTTTCTCCTCCCCAGCCTCTGATACTACATTTCTCTTGAACTTACTGTTATTTATTGATTGTTAGAGAAGTCGCAAAATCTGGGGGCTGGCACTGTGGCATAGCATGTAAAAGCCGCTGCCTGCAGTGCCGGCATTCCATATGAGCACTGCTGCTCCACCTCCAATCCAGCTCTCTGCTATGGCCTGGGAAAGCAGTGGAAGGTGGCCCAAGTGCTTGGGCCTCTGCACCCTCATGTGGGAGACCTGGAGGAAGCTCTTGGCTCCTGGCTCCTGGCTCCTGGCTTTGGATCTGCGCAGCTCCAGGTGTTAACAGCCATCTGTGGAGTGAACCAGCAGTTGGAAGACCCCCCGCCCCCCGCCTCTGCCTCTCTGAACTCTGCCTTTTAATAAATAAATATTTTAAAAAGTTAAAAAATCTTTATGTGCATTTTCAGGAACACAAATGCAGCTATGGAGCCAGGGTCAGAATGGTTAGGTTTGTAAAAAGTACAAGAGCTCAGGCCAGGTATCTTCATCTGCCAAACTGGATGGCCCCAGAGTTCCCCTGCGCCCTCAGCTCCCCTGCGTCGTCAGTTTTGTCTTCACATTAAAGCTTTCATGTGCTGCGGATAGCTCCGTAGTGGCTTGGAGATTTTGTGTTGATAGAAACGAACGATCCAAAGGTTCTCACATGATTCTAGTTTTATTCCTCTTGTCATGATAATATAATAACCAGTCTTAGGAGAACGTTTCTCACCGATGATTAGATTTTTTTGTTTTTTAATATCTGGCAAACTGAGTGGCCAGCAATTTCATGTGTGGTGTACTCTGTAGCTTTCAGTGACCTATCTTTTTAATACAATGTTGTTACTATCTATTTTCTAGTAAAATGAGTTGCATCTGTTTTCAATTCGATTTCTTTTATAAGTAGATAAAAAAAAAGGTGATTTGGGACTCCTGACAGAAATCTGCATTGTATCTTTCCTAGCAAGTCGCATCATGATACACAGTAATCCCTCTGTGGGAGGCTCATAAATGTTGATGATTTGGAAGTGGTATTAAGAATCAACTAAAGCCTGCTGATATTTGAACACACTTGCCCTGATGAGATACAACCAGATTTAGGAAGGCTTCTATTTTCCTTAGAGTGCACAAGACTTAGTGATTTTCAGCTAATAGACAGCAGGATAGATTTCCAATAATAAATCATAACCTCTCTACCCTGGGTTTGAAGGAAAGATATATGTGAGTAGCCACCCAGAGATACATTGTAAACTTAAAGAAGGGTGTTTATCAAAGTTACCTTCCCTTCCATTTCTACTTTATGCTGCTGCATTTCATTATTAAGCTGAGATATCGTGCAGTTCTTGGTACTGCTGGATTTCTAACCCCCCTTCTTCCTTTTCAATTAAGGATCCATTTATGGTCATGCTATTTGCCTTGCCCTTAGAAGCCAGTGGTCAATCAATTTTTCTAGTTTCTTCTGTCCTTTGTCTTCTTCAGTTGTATCAGAAGTTACTCAAGGGTATTTACTGTCACTCAAATGGATCAAATGTTTCCCAGTCCCCACACCTGTCCCTTTCCATTTTCTTGAGTTACGCACATACTCACAGCTATGTGTGGTTGACATTAACATGGGAACTCTGTGATTGTTGCATGATGTGTTATTTCTAAACATTTTTAGATTTCTTTGAGATCACAGAGAGGGCGAGAAAGGCACTCCTGCTGCCAGCCCAGTGTGCATTAGCAGGAAGCCGAGTGCAGAGCAGAGCCAGGGCGCAGACCCAGCACTGGGGTCTATGGGATATGGTGTCCCAAGTGGTGTGTTGACCACTGCACCAGATGTCCGTCCCCCACAGTGTTCTTTCACTCAGGAAGACCTTCAGCATTGCCATCACTATGATCAGCCTCTTTGACATTGTACATAGCTTGCCTTCATCATGTGTGGAGCACAACCACATAGTTTCGGGTATACAAATAAATCAGGAAGTGTGATTTTTGACCCTGGAGTGAAGACAGGAAGAGTCATGAAAAATAAATAATACGGAATACATTGAACAAGCTGAGTAAGTACTAAGAGAAGAAGAGCAGTTACCAGCTATTGGCTGAAGATACACTCATCGGTACCTACCACCTGGAAGAGGACCTTGCACCACGAACATTTATTTCATAGTGACCCTCTCTGCCTCATATTGTTACTGCGTGCAAACACAGCTTCACCACTGCCCTTAACTTGGAGGAGGAAAAAGTGGTAAAAGAATAGTTTTTATAGAAAATGAAGATATTGCCCAGTATTTGCTGCTTGGTCACCTAACTTTTGACCACTTCTATTGGAATTTTAAAAATGCTTTTGTTTCTTTTTTACTAGTGTAACTGGAGCTTTATATTAAGCTCTGTTTAGTCTCTTATGCCTGATTACAAGAGAGATTGTTAATGATAATAAACAGCCTGGAAGGGTACATGACTGGAGAAAGATGAGAGGCGGGTTAAAGGTTGCCCTGGTTTAGAATGAACTGTAGTAAAATCAGCCACAGTACCTGTCCAGACACACACTGCTCTTCCAATGAGAATGTGTCTGTCTTCTCACAAAACATTTTTGTCAATTGGAAGTTCTCCTTGTTCCCATGAGACGTTAGGACCCTGTAACAACCCCATTTCTTAATATCTTCCTAAAAACACTACTACTTAGATTGATTGTAACCTGAAGTAAATGCGATGCTTTTCTCATTATTCTTGGTACATGAGAATGATTATTTTGTTGATATTTTAAATATCAGTAATTTAATATACACTGTACTTGGAATAATCAATTTACCTAATATGCTCAAATTTGATCTGGTAATTTGCTAAGTGTGTATCTTTTATAAGTTACATTTAGAAAGAACTAAAATCCAGAAAAGGTAGATAAAAAGGGATTTCACAATATCAGTGTCACTTTTTTAATAGGGTTTTATTTTTCCCATTTGTCTTGAGACTTAGAAAACTGCAATATCTTTGCAAGGCTCACTTTAGTGGTTTTCAGATTCTCTGGCATCATTTTGAATATTTGATTACAAAATAGAGAATTTGAAATTTGAACATGGGTTACACCGACATGCTGTTCTGCCTCTACACGGTGCCCTCACTGGTGGCTGGAGCCCGACACCAGGCGGCCCCGACTGCGCATCCCCGGGCTAGCAGTCATATGCAGCTGTCCTCACTTTCCAGTGTCACTTACACTTTGCCTTTTCTCTTCCAGGTGTTAAAGTGGGTGGAAGAAGCAGTGCAGGCCTCCAAAGTTCACCTTTTATCCACAGACCATTTGGAACAGGCTGTCAATACTTGGGAAATCCCTTTTGATCCGAGCCTGAGAGAAGTCACGGTGTCCTTGAGCGGTCCTTCGCCCCTGATTGAAATTCGCAGTCCTGTAGGTGAGGTCACTCAAACTGCAGAAAGTGTGCGGAAGCCAAGGAGGGTGACACACTTCTTGCACACTGATTTATGTCAAGTTAATGTTAACTCTGAGTAAATTCAGTGTGTTCAGGAGTGGCTGGGGAAGATGTTTACAAAAACCTTTTGTGATTCTGAGGCTATTGAATTAACATGAGATTAAGGCTAAATATTTTAATATCTGACCATATCAGTTTTTAATATTTAACTATTCAGTAAATTTAATTATAATGAAATTATCCTAAAGAAAAATATTTACATTAAACTTGAAATTATATTTTCTTAATCTATAAATTAGGAACACAATAATTTATTGTATTCTGTTATTTTTTAAATGAATCCCACTTAAAAACTTCTGTTTTTTCACTGTCATTTTCTTGATAAGGTTTGACAGAAGCAATTGCTTAAAATCAAATTTATATTCTCATCAGGAAAATGTTTTAATTTGCTTCCTCACTTAATTATCTTTAAAGCTAAGATTACCTGATTCCATTGCTGGTTGATAATTACAGTAAGACAAGCATTGAAGAGCAATCTAGTAAAGACAGAAACCTTGTTTCTCTTAACATTTGTATTTAGAACAACTTCTGTCTGTTGATGTTATAAAAGTATTTTATTTTCATCATGGCTTTAGTAAATGTTGTATATTTTCTCTATTTGTGAATATTTTTAGATGAGGAGGAAGGTAACTAACTTTTATACTATGAGTCTTCGAAGAAACTAGGTAACTCCTAAAAGAAACAGCACGTGAAATTGTTCTTAAAGGCCTTATCGATACTGACAAATACACTGAAATTTGTAAAACAAGTAAAAACTCTTTCTAGACTCCTGAAGATTTTTCCTCTTTGGTGGATTTGTCTGTGTTCCTTGCATTGTGTTTGTACTTCTTTAAAAGTTATTGGGCATATATTTCCAGAAGTTTGGGTTGAAACTTAGGATGGTTGTAACTGGATTTGTTTGTAAACATGCAGTAGTCCATAGAGAGCCAAGAAGGAAGTGAATACTCAACAGTATTTACTTTCATGTTTGCTTTTCTTCCACTCCAAGTTCCCATTAGCAACTTTAGGTAAATCTCAGGTCAGCTGGGTGGTAGCATGCTCCTTCATTCAGCTGCTCCTTTAGAAATGCCCGGGACAAGTGAAAGCCTTCTCTGTGCTGTGTGAAACACTGGTTACGGTTTTGCACTTTGTGGAAACTGATGCCCAAGGCCCTCCTGTTAATAATACCATGAGTGATCTCCAAAAGAGACATTTGCTCCAGTTTGCCATGTCTGCCCTCTGTTTAATCTAAGTATCTCTAGTGACTGCACGTAACTTCTTGGTAGCCACAGTATTTGTCATCTGGGCTGATGCCAGTCTCTCCATTGTTAGTCTCATTTTACAATGAATCAGCATAGCAAATGGGAGCCCATTACTTTACTCCCATGCCCAGGAACCCTAAAATCAAGCACATTTTATACATAGATACAATAGTGTTCTTAGCCCTGGAGCAGATGTCCATCATTTAATCCTCCTGTATCCTGGACAGGATGCCTTTCCTTCCGCCACAGAGTGGAGAATAAGGACTCTGGGTTAGTTCGCAGCACAAGTCAGTGAAAAAATAAAAAGCCTCAGGGTATTGTGAAATCTGATCTCACTCTGAGCTTTACATAGTGCTCAATTAGCTAATATACACAGCTGAAAGAAAGATTACGTTTGTTACCTTTATGTCTGTCTCTCAGGGAAGCTGATAAAAAAGGGATTTGGCCTGAATGAGCTATTAAATATCCACAACTCTGCCAAAGTGGTGAATGTGAAAGAGCCAGCAGCTGGATTGTGGACAGTGAAGGTATTGTTACTCCGCAAAGTTTGTTTATCATCTTTTTATGTTGGCACGTTGTGTAAAGTATATATAATAGTTTCTTTATATTTACCCTTGCAGTCACGGAAATGTTTAATGAGAAGCTTTTCGTAAAAAGCATAGAGAGTGCATTTGTGGGAGATGTCGTCATTACATGAATTGGGTGAAGTTTTGACCATGAGTGTCATCGATGTCATATGATTCACTTCAAATTCTCAGATGGTTTTCCTTTCATCAAATCTGTAGATGGATTTTATTATCCAGCCCCTACTTCCAAAATAATCACAGATGGAGCCAACAGCTAATAATGGTTTGGGCTGTGGGCTCTGGTGCAGAGCTGCCTGGGTTTGGATCCCAACACCGCTGCTTCCCAGCTGTACCACAGTGGGAGCAGAACTCGGTGCCTTGCTGTCCTCCTTTGCAACGTGGGGAAGGCAGTAACAGTCCCCACGGAACTGGGCTGAGGACTGAAGTAAGACGATGCGTATGAGATACTTAGCGTAGTTTCTGTTACTGAGTGAGCAGTCGTGTGCTGTTGCCTGTTGTTACTGGGTGGGTTTGTACTCACTGCCTTCTGTGATACAGAGTGGTATTGTGTGCTAGTGTAATCTTCAGCGGTATGCATTTGCTCTAAGAAAGCGCTGTAGTTTGGCAGGGTGGAGGAAAAGGTATACACATGAAATTTAGGATGCTGTGGATCTGAGATTAGCTCTGCTGTGTGTTACGGTGGAGTGTGGCCCAGTGTCATAGCTGCTCTGACTTGTCCACACCTGTCAGTGCTCTGGCCTCCTTCCAACTCCAGTCCTGCTTTTCTGTGTCTGTGAGGTTTGCTAAGAGCAGGAGAGGAATTTCTACCCTCAGAACAGCTCCCAGCCCCTGCAGCAGTAACTGTGGTGTCCGCCATGCCAGCAGGCCTCAGGGCCACTGTCCATTGGCTCATTTCCCCTCTTCTTAGAGTCCCTTGCATCTCCCAAATAAACAACTCACTCTGGAAGCCTTTAATTTGTTCCTCATTGACTCAGCTTCCCTACAAAAGAAGTGGATTAAGGGGATTATGATTCCAATTACTGAGCTGCTGTGAAAGTGCATGGACGTACGAGGCCATAGAAATTTGGACAGGGGCTGGCGCTGTGAAGTAGCGGGTAAAGCCATTGCCTGCAGAGACAGCATCCCATATGGGCACCGGTTCGAGTCCTGGCTATTCCAATTCTGATCCAGCTCTCTGCTGTGGTCTTGGGCCCCTGCACCCGCATGGGAGACCTGGAAGAAGCTCCTGGCTGCTGGCTTCAGATTGGTGTAGCTCCAGCCGTTGTGGCCGATAGGAGAGTTAACCAGGGGATGGAAGATCAATCTCTCTGTCTGCCTCTCCTTCTCTCTCTGTTTAACTCTGACTTTCAAATAAATAAATAAAATCTTTAAAAATAAAAAAGAAATTTGGGCAGCCATTTTTGCTTGCTAATCATGTTTATTTTTTTTTTAAATCTAAAATAACTATCACAGTTCAAATAATGAAAGTTTACAAAGCAACCCTACTCAAATCCCAGGAAATCAATTCTTTATTCTCAGAACCCTAAGCTGTCTGGTAGGGAAGATAGAAACTGTAGTGAAGGTTTTGCTTTGAAGATAACATGAGGTCAAGGCATAGATGAAAAGATAATGTAAAAGGAAATTGACAGTTTTTTAATGATTGTGCCAGAAATGGTTATGCCTTTGATTCACCCAGTTCCTTGCACATAGCTCATGCTCAATGCTTGTTGAATGCATTAGACTAGCAATGTTGAAGTGTTTGACTGCTATGATATTTGAAATAGATACGACCACACTGATGTAGTTATTTTGGCCAGCTCGTCCAAAATGTGACTGCTGTTGAGACTGACTTCCTGTTACCACAGTTGGGGGATATAAGAAGCGTGAGTCTCAAGCCGGCGCCGTGGCTCACTAGGCTAATCCTCCGCCTAGCGGCGCTGGCACACTGGGTTCTAGTCCCAGTCGGGGCGCCGGATTCTGTCCCGGTTGCCCCTCTTCCAGGCCAGCTCTCTGCTGTGGCCAGGGAGTGCACTGGAGGATGGCCCAGGTCCTTGGGCCCTGCACCGGCATGGGAGACCAGGAGAAGTACCTGGCTCCTGCCTTCGGATCAGTGCGGTGCGCCTGCCACGGCGGCCATTGGAGGGTGAACCAACTGCAAAAGGAAGACCTTTCTCTCTGTCTCTCTCTCTCACTGTCCACTCTGCCTGTCAAAAAAAAAAAAAAAAAAAAAAGTAGCGTGAGTCTCTTTAGCCCTCCAAGACTTGAGCCCTGACCAGCGCCAGCAGTGGCCAGAGCCCGCAGGTCCACTGAGTACATTGTTGTGACTGAATCACAGCACCCAGTTGTCCACCAGCTGTGAGATTCATGCAGGTTACTAACAATTGCTTGTGCAGCGTTCGAATCTATTTCCAGGTGACTTGGGTTGCCACCAGTGGCATCGGTGCAACGGGGGTATTGTAGAATGGGGGAGAGATGCTGCGGGACTGTTTTACGTTGTGCTCAACACACCAGTGCATTAACTGAGCGTCAACTCTTGGCCATGTTCCCTGCTACTTACTTAATGTGCACTAAGCGCCGTTTAGTTGATAATTAGAGCAAAGAAGTAATAGGGATTAAGTCTTTGAGTGTGGACAGTGATAACAATAAGACAATAAAAACCTTGTTTAGACAAATCTCTATGCTCAGTCTTCTATAATTAAGGAAACAATAAAGACACAGAATCTGTTATGTTTTATATCTAGTATAATCAGAAGATCCTCTAGTTCTGATATGCACCATTTCTCATATGCAAGCGGTAACAACTACAGAGGATACACAGAAAGAGTGCAATGTAGAAATAATAACCTTACTTTGTTCCTGTATGAAACACCAAAAGAATGTGTCACGTAGACGCAAAGCAAATTGAGCTGAAGCTACTGACATATATATCACTCCTGACCTTGAATCTCCCCCTTCCGGATGGCTAATGAATGACAGATGTTAAACATGTGTGATTTCTGCAGAAGAGAAGTATCTCAGATTAGATAGCATGTCCTTGGTGCTGTCTCTCATGCTCTCCACTCTCTGAAAAGTGTCTGCTCTATCAGTAGAATTAATAATGGCTTTGGGGATGTTCCACATAACAGTCTTTCTCCCAAATGTGGAAAGCAAGCTGTCTGTTATTTGACTTTGGCATGGTATTCAAGGACCACTCAGTTGAACCTGAGCCAGTTTTTCTAGTTCTCTTCCGTCACTTGCTTTCACATTCTCATCAAATAGAATTTGGCACTGCCCCTCCTGCCGGAGCCTCCTGCCTCCTCTCCAGCTGTTCCTTCTGCCCAGAACGCCCTTCCTTTCAGTCTGACTCGGAACCGGTCCCAGGATTAGACTCAGATGACAGCACTTCCATCAGACCTTGTCAAAGCTGCTTCTAAAATGTTCTTTTTCCCCTGGCTATCTACTGCCATTTAATTTGTTTTAATTTATTTTCATTTTATCTGGAAGAGAGAGGTCAGGATCTTCCATCTGCTGGTTCACTCAAATGCCTGCAATGGTCAGTGGTGGGCCAGGCCAATACCAGGGCCTGGAGCTCCTTCCAGACCTCCCCTGTGGGTGGCAGGGACCCAGGCACTTGAACCTTCATCTGCTGCCTCCCAGAACACACGTTAGCAGGAAGCTGGGTGAAAGGCAGAGGAGCCGGGGCTTGAGCAGGCACTCCAGCATGGCATGTGGGCCTCCCAAGTGGTGACTGACACCTGTGCCAAATCCTGCTCCTCTACTGCGGGTTTTTCAGCACCTCCTTTGTGGCTTAATTTCTCCTTCACATCATTTTATTTCTGAGCAAATTCTTTCTCCGTTTTTCTAAGCCGCAGACCAGATTTTGTTACTGTGTAATATCTGAGAAAGAACTATAGATGTGTATGTGTGAACAGTGAATACCTTTACCCTGATGATGCACAGGCAGGCAGCAGAAGGACTGGGGTGGCAGCCCCCGTGGAGGCACTGCTGAGACCTGCACTTTGAGGCACCCGTGACTTGAATGGCAGCGGGCAGGTTCTTTTCTCTTGTGGTTTTCTTGATAAGACCTCACTGTGATATAGCAGGCACTTTTCACTAAAAACAGACCTGAGTTGCCTGGTTTGTGGAATTATCTAAATGACTCAGCTGTTTCAGGCTTCCTGTAACGCAGGTAAGGTGCATGAAAAAGAAGTAACTGAAAATAACATAAAGATTTGTTAAAAAATAAAAGAAATGTTGTTTATGCCCACAAATTGCCATTTGTAGTGAAGCTACAAATCCTGGATTATATTTCTAAGAGGCAGCATGAATTTTCCATTCAAGCAGCTCTATTTGTGTAGAGAGAATTCAAATATAACCACAGAAACCCTTGAGGCCGAATTTTGTCTTCTGTTCTTTCAGGCAGCTCCCTTCAAAGACATCACGTGATTTTCAGCACCTCCTGAGTTCAGGTGAATGAATGTTTCTCAGAGTAGTCTGGGATCACCAGGATGATCATGCACACCCTGAGATGTGTTTCCAGACAATACATTTGCATAAACTGCCCTTCGAGAAGCTCCCAAGTAGAGGAGGGAGTGTACCCAACCCCATGATTATGCTGAAATCTCCATGCTAGTAAAAATGCTTTGGTTTTTGATAGTTATTTAGTTGCCAGAGCCTACTAGTGCATTTTCCGCAGGGTGGGCGTATTTTAGAAATGATACTTACGTGACAGAAGTCTGCCTGGGAATTGTGACTAAACCAGCCTCAGGTCTGCAGATGCCACACAGGATTATTTTGTGACCTCTGATTATTGTCACCTTTGAGTTCTCTTTTGAATAACCTTGTAAACTGTAACAGGTGCAGCATTAATTCACTATTTGGGTCCACTGGACTGCTTTATAATCTATTTTTACTGGAATCTCTCCAGGTTATTTTGGCTTGCCAGTATCAGACTGTCAACTAGCTGGAATGCTTCCTTTTAA